TATATATATATATGAAAATTTGGAAAAGTTTGGGTGAGCCGTCCGTGTCATAGAGAAGGTCCGCCTATAAAAATCATATTATTTGTTATGCCATCTGTTAATATTATATAAATTAAAATAGATATATTTTTTATGAGATAAACTACCTTGGATAACTAAAATTTGTCTTAAAACTTATTGAGCTAAATTTACACTATCGCAATATTTAATAAACTAAAAAAGTATTTAAACATAAAGAATATTTTCGCTGAAACGATCCATTCATTTTAAAGAATCATTTATAGTCCTTTACCTAAACTTCAACAAAAGTAAACTTATTTTTGCAAAACTTTGTGATACTTACCAGTTTGTGTTGCGTTGCTCCTCCTATCGCCATAATCGACTCGTAGAAAATTATTTCCGCTAATGTCATGGCACATTGCCTTGCAGCTTAGATTTCCGTTAATGCTCAACAAGAAGCGAAAAAAGGATTTTCTGATGTTATGACGTGAAAGTTACGGTGCAGAATTTTCCAAGATGAAAGTTGTGTGTAAGATAAAGACACGTGTGTTATATTTTTTATTTTTTACTTTCATTATTTTTCGGTTGAACTTCAAACTCTTGAAAGAGTAAATTCTACAATTTGAGGTCGCGGTGGGTGATGCTGTGACGGTGGCGGGTGGAAGGTCAGAGATGCCGCGCGGAGAGATTCTGCCAAAAAAAAAACTCATAGACATCAAACTTCAATCTCAATGATGCATTATGCTGGCCATTCAATACAAGATATCAATCTACTTCATGTCCTCAACATTGGAGGTATAATGGTAAAAGTAATTGAAGAAGATAAATAATTAAAAAAGGAAAGTCAATAAAACAGTGGAAAAAAAAGGTGTCAAAGTCCTACTCATTAGATTCAACTAACGATTGACAAATTACTATCTATACCCAAAGCATATACGTCAAAGTTTTTTTTTTTTCTTCAAATATTTATCATAATGTCACAGTTTTTTACAAGTTGGGTACAGAAAATCCGATTTCTCAATGTGATTTTTTTATTTTATTTTAAATTTATCTTTAATTTATAAAAATACTTTTTAATATTAAAACATATTTTGAAAATACTAAAATATGTAATAATTTTAAATAAATTGATTTATAAATTTATAAATATATAAATTTAAATATTTTTATTAAATTATTTTAAAATAGAAATTATTAAAAAATTGTAAATAATTATTATTTTTTAATTTAGTTAAATTCTTTAAACTTGTTGTAAAGATTAATTTTTGTGTAATTTGTGTAATTTGTTTAATGTGTATGATTTTTTTTTTAGTTTGAATAATGACTAATACTCATAATTTTCATGGTAGTAAATTCAATAGAGTCTTTTTCATGACTTGAATTGATTCTAAAAAAAATTTATAATTACACGACGCGAGTTGTAGAAAATATTGATATATTTTTTTAATTTCTTTTTATATTGCACTTTTTTAAATGTAATTTTGAGTATTATTATAAAGACTTTTTAGAACCAATTTAAAATGTGAATGTAACTCTATTAGATTCCCAATCATGAAAATTATGAGTATCAAGCATTGTTCAAATCAAAAAAATATATCATACTCATTAAATAAATTACACAAAAATTAACCTTTACAACAAATTTAAAGAACTTAACTAAATAAAAAAATGATTGTTCATAATTTTTAATAATAATTTTTATTTTGAAATAATTTAACAAAAATATTTAAATTTATATATTTACTATTTTATAATCTATTTTATTTAAATTTATTCTATATTTTATTATTTTAAAAAATATTTTTTTATATTAAAAAATATTTTATAAGTTAAAATTAAAATAAAAAAACACAAAA